AGCAAAATTAAAAGTTCTTAAAGTGTTGGACACTGAAAATACTATAAAAATGAAGCTAAATAAAATCATGTTTGGCTAATGGTGGCATTAACATAGGTCTCACCGCTCCGGGAAGCTGAACTCGTGAGTTAACTCTTTCTTTCCTACTTTGGCTGCTTTTGCCTCCACCCTCTGCCAAACCCCTAACAGAATCAGAGAACAGAACAAACAGGAGGACGTGCGGTGAAATGCAGGGCAGCAAACTGCCCACTCGGCCTGGCGAGATGTCACAGCCTGTTTGGTTCCAGGAGGGACCACTGTCAGCATTCGGGTGATTTATCCGGCTCGTGAAAGGCGCGTCTCACATCGAGGCAATTGGGACCCCTGTAACCGCCAAGAAGCAAAGCCAAAGCTGCCTCACTGCGCAGGAGACCTCAGCTGAGACCGGGTCCTTCCCGTTAGGAAAGGGGGCCTGCCATCCCGCAAGTCGGAGGCAGGGACACTCAACCAAACCACCGCAGGCGGGAGGAGACAGACCGAAAAGGGGACACGGACATTATGGGGGTTCAGGAAGTAAGAAAGGGGAAGGGAAATGCAGAAATCATCACAACTGGCCAAGGAGCAGAGACCGGCAAAGCATAAGCAGCCGTTTATCTGGTTAACTGTGACCACACTTAGCTCCTCTTGGTGACATCCATTCAACCCTGAAGTCTTAAAGACGCCAATGCCTGTCATCGACTTGCTCAGAAAACTGGGCGGTAGAGTTTGAGGGGTGTCTCTGAACTCACTGGGCATCACCCCCAACCAGAGAAAAATGACAGTCACAAACTCCCCAAGCCAAGAGAAAAAAAAGGGTCCCCAGAAAAAAAAAAAGGACATGAATTGTCCTTTTGGCTGCTTGGGTGTTGACACAGAAGAGGGGGTGAGGTGGGAAGGCAGCCTCTATTGCAAATGAGAAATTTAAAATCAGCTAGATTTCAGGGCAAAACGACGAAATGCGGGATACTTAAAGGGGGCCCTAAGTCTAAAACTTAACATGTCGCGCTGCGCGGAGAGCCGGCCCCGCCAGCTGGGAGACAGCGGACCTGCGCACTGACTGACTCACTGGGCGGGAAACGGGCGAGGCCTGGGGGCGCTGGGCGCGTTC